GAACATAATCGGGCCACGGCCCCGAATAATGAAGCGGTTCGAAAGCAGGTGTTACAAACACTCTGATTGGGTTGTTGTAATGCAATCTGAACTTGTTGAATTTGAACGAAACAAGGTTTGGAGATTAGTTCCTAAACCTAAAGATGTTTCGTTAATTGGTCTAAAATGGATTTTTAAAAATAAAACTGACAAAGAATGCAATATTATTCGAAACAAAGCAAGACTAGTTGTAAAAGGTTATTCTTAACAAGAAGGTATTGATTATGAGGAAACCTTTGCCCCTGTCGCAAGACTCTAGGCGGTACAAATTTTTCTTTCTTATGAAGCTCACAAGGATTTTGACGTCTATCAGATGGATGTCAAACTGTATATGTCGAACAACCTCCAGGTTTCGTTAACGATAAGTATCCTGATCGTTGTTATATTTTAGACAAGGCAGTCTATGGGTTGAAACAAGCACCTCGTTCCTGGTATGCAACTCTGAATTTTTTTTTGAAGATCACTAAATTTAAACAAGGAATAGTTGATCCTACTTTATTTAGAATGAAAGTAGGGGATCATCTGATGCTCGTTCAAATTTATGTCGATGACATTATCTTTGGTTCGACTGATCCTTCATTATCTAAGGAATTTGAGGAACTTATGCAAAGTCAATTCGAAATGAGTATGATGGGTAAAATCTATAACTTTTTGGGGTTGAATATTCGTCAAAGAAGGGATGGAATTTTTATCAATAAAGAGAAATATACTCGAAAATTTCTTGAAAGATTTGGCATGATGAATAACACGAAAGTTAAAGTACAAATGGCAGTTGTCACACACTTAAGTCCTTCGTTGGATAAACCTGTTGTTGATCTAACGACGTATATAAGCATGATCAGTTCGCTTTTATATTTAACTGCAAGTCAACCTGATATAATGTTTGTTGTATGTAATTATGCCAGGTACCAATCAAACCCAAGAGAACTCCATCTCAATGCAGTCAAGAATATCTTTTGATACCTCAAAGGAACAGTTTTGTTCGGATTATAGTATCCTTCGAAGATAGACTTCTTTATCCAAGCATTTTCTGATGTGAACCTGGGTGGATGCCAATTGGATCGAAAGAGTACAACTGGAGGGTGTCAATTATTGGACAGGAAACTTGTGAGTTGGCAAACGAAAAAGCAAACCTGTGTTTCTATTTCGACTGCTGAGGCAGAATATATCGCTGCTGCAGCGTGTACATCAAAAATGATTTAGATTCAAAGACAATTGCATGACTATGCAATCAACATGAAGAAAATACCATTCGTTTGTCACAATCTTGTCCAACATTCGAAAACAAAACATATTGCACTTCGTTATCATTTTATTAAAGACCATGTTGAAGATGGAAACATTGAAGTCCATTTTGTCAAAACAACATACCATCTTGCTAACATTTTCACAAAAACTTTAGATGAAAAATCATTCTTAAGGATTATGAATGGTCTGGGAATGATGGACGCATCTTATGTTCCACATTCTTCTTGAATCTGACTCGAACATATGTTTTACCTTACTTTCGATTGATCTTCTTACTTTCGATTAGTGGGTATACCTTTTGTGTGTTTTAATTCACTTTCGATTGTTTGCATTTTGTTCAGAGGTTACTGTTCACGGTCAGCATTCGACTACGTTCGCATTCGACTTTCCTCTGAATCGTTCAGTACACAATTCACATTTGATGGAAGACTTTCGATGCACAACCCATGCTTGATGATTGTTAGCTTATGGGTCGAACGTATCTAGGTACTGTTTTACATTCTCTTATTTTTGTCTTGTTATTCAAAAACCAAAAATGCAAAATGATTTTCTTATTTTTGTATTTGATTTCTAAAAAACCAAAAACCCAAAAATATTTTCTTATTTTTGTATTTGAATCTAAAAATCAAAAATCCAAAAATATTTTCTTAATTTTTTTATAAATCCAAAAATACAAAAATATTGTCGTTGGACTCTCATTGTAACAATATGATGCATTATCGCATGCCAAATGACCACATTCTTTAAGGGAACAAGTATTATTCGAAACTATGTACTAGTTAAGTGTCCCTAGAAGCATGCTTCATCATGTTGTCCTCAAAGCCTGAAAGACTCTTTGTGTTTGAAGCCTTAATGAAACTTATCACACACAAATTTTCTTCCCAATCAGGCTGTATTCAGATTAGTCGTAGAGCTACCTTACTCTTCTTATGACGAGTCAAGAGTTTTCTACTCGGTCAAATTTTTAGTAGAGGTACAATGAGTTCTTTCACCACATCTTTTTCACCTAAAATTTCTTTCATGATCACACACTACACTACATATCCTCGACACCTCTGGTCGAAACCACCAGAATGTAGATATGCCACAACTCTGTGTTTATGATCCGACAGTCGAAATAGAGCATGACAGTGATAGCGAAAGGTCTGAAGTTCGCATCAAGGATTCCTTTATTGGTTTACCGCGAATGGATACCTCTATCAAGTCGACTTTCGAGGAGACAAGTATTTCCGATGTCACTATAAACGTATATAATATGGATACAAACATCAATTCGGGTGATCAATCATAAACCAATAAATATCCCTGAGAAGGCATTAGTCATACCATCTGGGTTTTCGAATACTGAGTCCCATAGTTAGGAGGTTGAAATTCCAGACATCACTGTGGACTTATCTAATAAGGACACAAATCTCAACATGGATGAGGGGATAATTCATGTCGAATCTTTTGTGGCAACATCAACTGCTTTACCACCACCATCATCACCCATTATAACTTTTGTTCCTGCTTCGACTATATCACCAACATTTTTTGGTGTCATGCAAGAACCAATCACCACTATTTCTCATCACAATCCGTTTGACACGGGGGCGAGTCCTTCTGAAGAAGGGGATAATGATGGCGGTGGCCCAAACTGACCCGTGTTTCGTGAAGGCCAAATTGGATCTCATGCCATTTGGTTTAATTTGCTTTTATCTTTAGTTTAATAATTTATTTAATTTTTGTTTGGGTTTTGATAAGACTGGAGTTATCCATTTGTTAGGTTGTTACCTAGTTTTTGGGATTAGAATTCTTTTTAGCTTTGGACGTTTGTTTTCATGGGGGATTCTTTATGATTGTTGAATAAAGTTTTTTTTTTCTCTCCTTCGGAACTCTCTGTTAGCCTGTGTTCCAGTTTGAGGTGCAAAGAAACTGCATCAGTCACGAACCCATAAAAACGAACCTTTCATTAGAATCTCATCACCAGTCTCTGCTAATTTCCCCAAGCTTATTATATTGTTACATAGACTTGGGATAAAATACACCTCATGTAGCACTCGTCTTTCATCTGTCTTACATTGAAAGACAATGGATCCTTTGCCTTCTATCCGCACCTTGAACCCATCTCCAAAACTTACGTAACCCCAAATACCTTCAGCAAGTTCCTGAAACTTATCTTTGTCGCATGTCATGTGGTTCGACGCCTCGTTATCCAGGTACCATACTTTCGTACGGTTCTCTATATCTTTTGAACTCTTTAACTTTGGTACTACATGTTGTTCGTTTAGATACACTTCCTCTTGGGCTTCAACTGGTTGAAACTTAGCTAACAAAAGTGTTGGTTCATCTTCATCTTGGCCTTGGGTCAGATGCACCTCCTGATTCCTTTCCTTCCGTGGGTTCTTGCACTCTGAAGCGTAATGGCCAAAATCTTGGCAGTTGTAACATTGTACTTTGGTTTCGTCTCTGCTACTCCCTGTATTGTGTCCGTTATCGTGGTGCTGATGAGGGCTGCTACCCCTCTGTTCACCACGGTTGTTCCAGCCGCCTCTTCCACGACCCCGGCCACGTGTGTTTGAGTTTCCTCCCCTACCATTCTTTTGTGACATCGTTGAGCCTCATAAATTTTCTTTTTTACCCTTCTCAAGCCACTCTTGCTGAGTCAACAACACTTTTCCTTCACTGTTTTCCCCTCGACCACGTACCCTTTCTTCATGGGCTTTTAATCGTCCCACAACTTCTTCCATAGACATAGTCTCGTGATCAGCGATCTGCTCTATTGTAGAGGCAATATGCAAGAATTGTTCTGGAACGGCTCTGAGCAATTTCTTCACAACATACGACTCTTCTAGTTTATCTCCCAATGCCCTAATATTACTCACGATGTTGTTTACTTTCCCAGCAAACTCATCGATGGTGTCCGCTTCTTTCATACTTATGACTTCGAACTCGACCTTAAGGGTTTGAAATCTTGCTGTCTTTACTCTGTCTGCTCCAAGGAACATAGTATTCAGCGCTTCCCACGCCTCCTTAGCTGTTTGTTTCTCTGCCAACGACAACAATAAGTCTTCCGGTATCCCTTGATAGATGGCCGCCATCGCCATTTTATCCTTCTTTAGTTCGACTACTGTGTTTGCGGTTCTGGGTTCGACTGCATCCCACACGCCTTGGGTTTGCATGAAGACTTTCATCTTTATCGCCCAAGCAGCATAATTGTTTCTGGACAACATCGGGTAATGGAGCATAACTTGGCTTTCCTTTCGTTTCTATCTCCCATAGTTGTTGGTCTTGGTTGGTACTTTGGCATATACCGTGAGCTCTGATACCAAATGTGGGGTAGACAAATAAGCCCAATAATAAAACAACAGAGAAAGAGAGGGATATTTTGGGGCAAACTTTTCTGAGTTTTCTTTGTGCTTATCAAAAATTGGAAAACAACCTTCTACTTATCTAAACTTCATGCTAAAAATAAGGAAACAACTACCCACGTGACTACTAAGCTACAAAAAGGGAAAATGGCCTACATGGCCTTTGATTACTTCAACTTGACTTACGTAAAAAAGTAAATAAAAATACTTGATACTCGAAATTACTTAATTGCCCCCCATGACTTCTGGATTAACCCAACATAAATTACAACACAATTCACAAATCTGATAGTAGTTATTGAATAAGGAAAAGAAAAAAAAAAACTAAGTTTTACTTGATCTTTCAAAAAATCCGTAAACATCACATAAAAACTAAGTTTTACTTGATCTTTCAAAAAATCCGTAAACATCACATACTTAAGAACTTACTTTTCTATCTCAATTGGAAGTTCATAAACCTGAGGAAAGTGGCATATAGGAAGGCGAAGAATACACAAAAACCAATCAAAACCGCAGCAACGGGACCCATGAAATCCAATTCAAAACCATAGTAGTCCTTGATATACGATGTGAGGGCCGGGTCAATTCCCATGCCAGGCACCTTAATCGTGTTATCCGCATCATGATATTGAGAAACAATGCAACCATACACAGTCCACGCCATGGGGCAGATCCAGTAGTACCACACCCACCATCCAGGAATTTTCTAAAATTTAAGAAATAGAATAAACATGAAATAATAGAATACAATTATCGAAAAATGAGTTGATTTAAAGAGATGATAACTTACAGGTTGCGGAATATAAAACCCTGAAAAGATATTAAAAAGTAGGTAGAAACCAGCTGCAAATATGGCTGCAATATGCTCGTTTGGTGTAATGGAAACAGTCATCATTCCATAGTATGTGAAGTAAAGGAACGAAAAGAAGTTGATGAAAAAGAGCCAGAAGAATTTGGGTACTGTCCATTCGAATGACACCATGGCGTACACTATAAGAGTGTAGTATGTCGTTTGAAGGAATACATATGGTATCTCAACAATAACCTTTTATTCAAAGAAAAGGGTCATTAAGTTTGTAATTTAAGTAATTAAGTAAATATTTGCTTAAAAAATTTCTTACTTGTGCCATGGCATATGGTAATGAAGAGTACATTCCAGCTGCTCTTTCACGATAAAAGACTGTTCTTTCTGTTGCAACAACTGGCTGCACTGTTTGGGAATTGTTAATGCCAACAAAAAATATAGCAGCGTACATGGCTCCAATTGTTGTGCTCAAATCATTGCTGCTCGACCTGAAATATTTTATAAAATATATGAAGGTTCCGACCATATTGTAAATGGATCATTTCAAAAGAAGCAAATACTCACTTTTTGCTTCCAATTTTCCAGAATACAGTCCCGACCATGAGTGCACAAAGCAAAGTGAAGAAGAAACGAACAAGGTTATAATCGGGATTTCGCCAGTAACTCCACCACATCTTCCATAAACAAGAAGTGAATTGTCCCCATATATTTTGAGAATATTGTGTTTCAAAGTGAAGATCTTCAACACCTGGTGGAGGTACACTCAACTCCTTCACCAAAGCCTTGTTCCTCCTGTCATGTATACAAACATATTATAATTACAAGTCCTTGCTGATTTTATATGATTATAATTTGTTGAGATATCGGTTAACATGAAAGAAAAAATTTGTTCCACATTGGTAGAGTTAAAAAAATATCCAAGGCTTTGGTGTGAAAGTGCCCCAATCAAATAAATTTAAACAATTTCATTTTTTTTTTGACATTCTTCTCTTGTTTTAGAGTGCTTAAAAGTCCGGTTTGTAGCGTTTCCAATAACTACTCATGCATGTGTTCAATTTTCTCTATTATTTTTCAATGGACAGGTTTTTGGAAATCTTTGAGACCATTTTCCCAACATATATTTTATCACCAAAATTAAAAAAGACTCACCGTTGGACACGCGATTCACTGTAGTAGTCAGCAAAGTCAACATCGAGCCGCATCTCTGCAGCAGCAGAGCTGACTTCCAACATCCATGTTGCTGGATTGGATTTTTCAGGGATCTTTGGAACCCCAGGAACTTCCTAATGATATAAAAACAACTTAATTTGTTCAGTGTTTTTGTTTTTTTGGAATTCTAGTTTATATATTATGCACGTGAAATACCTGAAAGTGGTTGATGATGTTTTTTGAATGCCTGCCTAGTGGGCCCGCATAGATAACTTTTCCTCCTCTTTTCAATAGCAACAACTCATCAAAAGATTCAAATATATCAATACTTGGCTGATGAATGGTGCAAACAACTGTTCTCCCTGTGTCCACAGTGTTTCTTACAGCCCTCATAACAATGGCAGCTGCCCTCGCATCAAGTCCAGAAGTTGGTTCATCCATGAAAATAATTGAAGGATTTGAAACAAGCTCTACTGCAATTGTTAACCTCTTTCTTTGTTCTGTTGACAAACCACTAACTCCTGGAAGTCCCACTATTGCATCCTTGATGTTGTCTAGTTCTACTAGCTCCATTACTTCACCCACAAAAACCTGAAACGTAATATGATTAACACTTTATTCTTCTTTTTGATATCTTGTTTGGTAATATTTTTTTTTAATTTTACCATTTTGTCTTCCTTGCTGACTTGTTTTGGGAGACGGAGGAAAGCAGAGTAGATTAAAGATTCATGAACAGTAATTGTGGGAGAGTGGATGTCGGTTTGCTCACAATACCCAGAGATTCTTGCAAAAGTTTCTTGTTTTTTTGGGAATCCTGATATTCTTATGTCCCCTTCTATATAACCAGTGGTCTTTCTTCCAGCTAAAACATCCATGAGTGTAGTTTTACCTGCCCCACTTACTCCCATTAAAGCAGTTAGGACTCCTGGCCTAAAAGCACCTGTTACATCAGTAAGTAACTGCAACCTATTGTCTGTCACCCCTTGCTCTCTCATTTCCTGTTAATCAAGAAATAATAGTTAAGCCTAACAGTGACAAGGTCAAACTTCAAGATTTTACTAGCAATGACGTTTTTGAAAGTGTGAATTGAAGCGGTAATTTTGTATACATAATATATCACATAAGTATAAATTTATATCAAATATATAGGGTTTTAGATGTATTATATCAATACCTTATAGAAAAAAGTTAACAAAAATTCATTGGTCTCATGCTCTCATAGAAAAAGCAGAAAAAAAAAACTCGCGCGTTGGAATGCCTTTTAAAACCTTGGCTTTAATCAACAACAACAATGACAATAATACCCAAATCCCATAACATAAATATGGAAAGGGAGGTTAGATGTATACAACCTTACCTCCACCCGAAGGTAGAGAGTTTGCTTCCATCGTGTTTGGTTTAATTCCGACTTTTAGTCAAAAGTGGTGACTGGTTCAAAGCATACCGTTTTACTAAGGGGTAGTTTAGTCTTTTGCTTAGAGTATGAATAAGTAAATGACCATGTGGGCACTAGAGATTTAGTAGGCAGTAGTTGCAGTCTTTTAAGGATAAGTAGTTGAAATTTGTGTTATCTACTCTTGTATTCGTTGATAGATGGACAATGAAAACCACAGAAAAGTTAGTCCCAAAACCTCTAATTCGTTTCTCATTTTTACCAGCAACTGTGTGTTTTGTTTTGGCATTCTTTTGTGCAGATTTTGGTCCTACACATCGCCTATCTCTAGCAAAAAGAAATATGTGCCAAAGAGAAAAGTGTGTATATGTGGATGCAAGAGAGCATAAAGCGACAAGAAGGTACATAAGCAGATACAAGCAACGGAGTAGAAAGAGGGACAAAAATACAAGTACAAACAATAGATCAAAAATAACAATCATATACCAATAATAGAGCATAAAATAGAAAGAGGGACAAAAATGCAGATAAATACTATACTAAGAAACTCATATAAATAAAAGGAAAATTATAGAAAAAACCTTAAGTTTGTCAAAAAAAAAATGATGGTTTCACTCCAATTAACATGAAATTTATGTACGATAGATACCTGAACTTTACACGATTTTGACATCAATGTGACAATGTCATTTAGCATGTAAATTCAATGTGACAAAGTCATTTACCCGCTAAATGACATTTATTACATAAATTGTGCAAATTTTGGGCATCTACATAGATAAATGTCATGTTATGGTAAAACCATCATTTTTTTTTTCTGTAATTTTCCCTATTGAAAAAGGAAACATAAATCCAATGCTACTCTACTACCCTACTACTATGTCACTACTCACCTATGCTCTTTAGCTACTACAATAATTCTAAGGTGTTGTTTGGTTTGCATAATATTTCTGAAAGAATTAGAATTGGAATCGGAAAATGAATCAGTCAGAAATTTGAATCCAATTCCCTATACTGTTTGTTTGACAGGAAATAGAATTAGAATTAATTCTAGATTCAGTTTGGTTGGCAGGAAACATAATTAGAATCCACGTAAAATGACAGATCTGTCTTTTTTTTAATCCGTTTTACATTGAATTCTATCTTGCATGTAAAGATTTTTTACACAAACTATAAAAATAATAAATTTTCATTTTATTAATTGAGCATTCATGTCGATGGCGGTGGTAGGTGGTGGTGGCGATGACGATGATAAGTGGTGGTGGTGGTGGTGGTTGGTAGTGGCGGTGATGGTGGTGGTGGTGAAGAGTGGTGGGTGGTTGTGGCGGTGACGTTGGGTGGTGGTGGCGGTGGTGGTAGGTAGTGGTGGCGGTAGATTGCGGCGGTGGTAGGTAGTGGTGGTGACAATTGCGGGAGGTGGGTGGTGATAGCAGTAGTAGTAGTGGTGGTAGGTGGTGGCGGCGGTGACAGGTGTTGGTGATGGCGGTAGGTGGTAGCCGTAGCAGTAGGTGGGTGGTGGTGGCGGTGGCGGTAGGTGGGTGCTGGTGCCGATAGCGGTGGTAGTTGGTGGGGGTAGGTGATAGTGCTGGCAGTGGCCGTATGTGGGTGGTGGTGACGGTGACGGTGGCATGGATAGGTGGTGGTGGTGGGTGACGGTGGTAGTAGGTGGTAGTGGTGGTGGTAGGTGATGGTGGTGGTGGCAGTGATGGTAAGTGGTTGGTTGTAGCAACGACGATGGCGGTAGCGGTAACGGTAGTAGGTGGTGGTTGGTGGTGGTGGTTGGTGGTGTTGGTGGTTGCGGTAGGTGGTGGTGGAGGTGGCGGTAGGTGGTGGTGGCGGCGGTGTCAGTGGTAGGTGGTGGTGGAGGCAGTGTCGGTGGTAGGTGGTTGTGATGGCGGTGGAGGTGGTAGTGGTGGTGGTG